TCTCTATATGGAAGAGAAGTGATGACTGAATCTTCCCAATGGCTGTAGCATGGCCATCTTTGCTTCCCACCCTGGAGCAATTGTTCACTCTTGATGATGGTATAGCTTACCAGGAGATCGAGTTTTTGCATCATCCACTTTTGATCTTAAGGAAATGTCTTCAGATATTCCTCTGAAATCTTGAGTTTATTCTCCTTTGGCATAAATACTGAGTGTGTCAGTTTTGAGCAGATGGTGGCCTGGGTGTGTTGAGATCATTGGGCAGGTTCTTAGAGTTGTCAAGAACCCAGTATTGGGGTTCAAGCCTTAATGCTGGTGGGCTTGAGTGCCCTTTCTGGTGTTGTGGGGTCCTATAGTTCCTCCATTTGGAATTGCTCACGGAGTCATTCCCAGAAGCCCAGGCAGTCAATGCCAGTTGTCCTGGCATTTAAGCTTCTTTACAGGATGGAAGTGTTTTCCAGTGAGAACTGTTTGCCACCTTTATTTTAAAAATGAATCTATTTATGTATTTCTTTATTTGTGTGTGTGCATGTATCTGTGAGTGTGTGTGTGTGTGTGTGTGTGTGTGCGCGCGCACACATATGGGTGCATGCCACAGCACATGTGTGGAGCTCAGAGGACTTCTTCATGGAGTTGGTGCTCTCCTTCCACCTTTGTGTGGGTTCCAAGGATCAAACTTATGTCATCAGGCTTGCACAGCAAGCACCTTTACCCACCAAGACATTTGCCAACCCCTAAAGAAACCTTTAAAAGTTAGAAGTCACAGGGGACATTGTAGCAGCACTGTAAGTCACTATAACTTTCTCTCTTATAGCCAGAAAAATAGAATCAATGTACATGTCCACCAATTACTGAATGGCCAAATAAACTACGATGTGCCCACATTGTGAGCCATTCTTTAGGTATGGAGTTGACATGAGATGATCGTAACATTTGTGTTGTACTTAGATGCTTACAGCATAGACATCAGCACATATGTATTGAGAGCAAGTGTAATAAATGCATATAAAAAGTCTGAAGAAAGCACATTCACCATCCTGCTAGAGGGTGGAGGCGAGGATTAGGTATTGGAGTGGGGGCATCTTGTTTCTTACTCTACTATTCCTGTACTGGGGATTTGTGGTATAGGAAAATGGAACCATGCAATACAAATAAATGTAAAAATAATAAGTTTGAACATGTAAGATGGAATTTAAGGGCAAAAAGCCATTGTGACTAAGATTGGGCACCAGACACAGGCACAAGCCTAACTATTTAACTCCATCCATCGGCTTTACTAATTGTGAACGGAACAGCAGCTTCTCGGCTCTCGTTGCTACTCTCCCAACAGTCTGACTGCACTCCCTCGTCAGGTGTTATTGCTTTTCTGAGTGAATAAGAAGAATCACCTTAGAACACATTCTGAGGTATCTAACCTTATGTTAACTACAACCAGGGATCATACTTCATTTTTTATCTTCCTCCCTACATCCCCCCTCCTTCTGTAACATCCTTCTCCTTTGCAAACTGCTGTACGGCCCCTCTGCTCAGGACCTGCCTCAAAATTCACAGCCCTCAGGAGACCCAGCTTAATAAACTTGGCCTCGTGGAGAGGCCTCTCTTCACGCCCTTGCTGGACGTGTTCCCTGTGTTTGACAACTTCATTTTGTACCTTCTTGAGGGCTGCTTGCTAATTGGTTTGTCTTTTTTTTTTTTTTTTTTTTTTTGCATACATGTTCACTTAATTCATTTCCCAAACTAATAAGCAATTCATGAACAGAAAATAGTAGAGTAGGTAGACATTGAAGAAAAAAATGTTTTAACTTAAAACCTGACTCTTTCACTTTTTCTGGATATTTGTGAGGGAGAAAAAGTGAGTTGCTTTGTAAGGCTTTATTTCCACATAAGTTTTGTTTGTTTGTTTTGTTCTTTTTTGTTTTGGGAATTTTCTTAAAGATCAAGTAAGGATTAATATATAGTTAGGAGGTTGGGAAGACCGAGGAGAAACTGGGCAGGGAAATATGATCAAAGTATAATGTATAAATATTCTTCAATAAAAAATAACTAATAAAAACCAACCTAAATAAAAATTGAGGCTTGGAAGTGAACAGACAAGGTCTCACTGGGTAGCCAAGGTTGGCCTCAAACTCAGCATCCTAAATGCTGGAGTTATGGACACGCACCATCATCGAAGCTGAAAAAATTTTTTAGAGGCTGTATTTTCCCACCTTTGAAAGTGGTTAGATGCTTCTGATTTTACAGGATTTGGTGGTGGTGGTGTGAGGGGGGAGGGAGTGGTAAGATGATCTGCAAAGTTGGGCATTGGGCTGGAGCTCCAGGGACCAAGCATTCAGCATGACTCATGTTGGTTTTCACCGCAGCCCACCACAGGAGTGTACATACTGTGCTGACATCACTTACGTCTGTGATAGGCCTAAGTCATTGTTTGTTTATAATTGTTGGATACTGTGATAGTTTGTATTGATTGCCAATTGGCTGGGTATAAAGTCCTGTTGGAGACAAATCTCTAGGCGTGTCTACAAGGGATTATCTTGATCGAGTTAACTGAAGTAGGAAGTCACGCCCTCTCCACCCCTTCCCCTCCGCTGATGCTGCCACCACCACCACTAACTGTGGGCGGCATCATTCCCTAGGCTGCTGTCCTGGATTGGACAGAAAGGAGAAAGCAAAGTGAGCACCAGAAACAAGTGTCCGTTGCTTCCTGACTGGGAACACAGCGAGACTAGCTGCTTCTCATTCCTTTCACTATGATTGCCTTGCCATGGTGGACTGTCCCTCAGACTATAAACCCAAACAAACCCTCCTCTTCTTAAGTCGCTTTTGTCGGATATTTTGTGGCAGCAACCAGGAAAGTAACAAACACAGATGTGTTCAAGGATGTGGGGATATCTGGGCTTTTACAGTGGAGACTGAGGATTATGTTGTCAAGTTCAACTCAAGTCGGCATTCTTCCATTCAATATCACACTGTTTACTGTGAATAACTGACTTGGAATTGGCTTTCGTCCAAGAGGGCTATTCTGTAAGCTTCTCTAGTTATTGTTTGGGGGACAAGTTATATTTGTTCCTGGCACTATTTTTTACTTACTCACACATGAGTGCTTACTCATGTAGTCACTTATTCACCAAACATTTATAGACCACTGGTCTGGCTCAGCGGTTAAAAGTATGGGCTGCTCTTCTAAAGGACCTGGGTTCAATTCCCAGCACCCACATGGTGGCTCGCAAATGACTGTACCTGTAGTTCCAAGAGATCCGAAACTCTCCTCTCGTCTCTGAGGCACCAGCACACATGTGGTGCAAAGACATACAGGCAGGCAAAACATCCGTAAACATAAAAGCAAATAAACAAGAGTTTAAAAAACTATAAGATGTTGTTGCATTAAGCATGATTGAGGGCATGAAGAACGTCTACCACCACATGGACAAACTGGGGAGATTCACCGTCTACAATGGCCCTGAGCTGCCTGTGGGGAGCTACGGGCTCTGGGTGGAGGACATGGCTTGAAAGGGCTTTGAGTAGATAACAAAGATACCCTATATATTATAAAAAGGAGTTGAGATTTGGTCAAGCTGGAACCATGTGTCACCAAAGAAATTTGGGCAAGGGCACAAAAAGGTCAATTGTACGCTATAAGGAAATTCAGGCCACTGGAGACCAGTTGGACTGTGGAGGATGAGATGGAAGGAGGGAGAAAAGCCCCGAGACTCTGGGAGAATTAAGGAGACCGGACGATGAATGGCTGATTTGCTATGTGGAAGAGGAACTCAGACGTGGAGTAGAAAGGACACGGAGCTTGATTGATGTGTTAGGTCTCTGTTATTGTCACAGCAAATTACCCTGCACTTTGACGCTTAAAACAATCCAAATTTATTATCTCACAGTTCTGTGGCTTGGAACCCGGATGGGACTCCACTGGGCTGAAAACCACGCAGTCAGCAGGGCTTTGTACTTTTCCTAAGGCTCGGGAGGAATTTGCCCATACACTCACGGAGAAGTCAAAGAAAGACGTCTGGCATTTTCCTCTGTTGCCTTATACTTTGGTTTTGAGACAGAGTCCTCACTGAGCCTAAATCTCACCGTTTCCGCTAGGCTGAGTGCTCAGGAAGCTCCCAGGATGTGCCTGACGACCCCCCCCCCAATGCTGGGGTTATAGGCAGGTGTGGTCCTGCCTCACCTTCAGGAGGGTGCTAGCGATTCACACACAGATCCTCTTAACCCCTGAGCCAAAGCCCCAGCCCCACTTCTGCTTTACACATGAATCTTTTTTCGGAAATGTGAGATAATTTCAAGTCTCTAGTTCTTCCCCTCTGCTGTTTTCTCACCAGGAGGCGGCCTAGTGAGACCCTTACCTAAGGACTTTCCTGTTTTGCTGGCCCTCCTGTGATCTGCCTTCCATTGGGAACCTCTTGGGAGCTGGGACTCTGTTTTGAGGCTTTCAGTTCCTCCTCTGCCGATTGCAGAGGTCGGCACGTAGGAAACAGTCAAAATGCGACTAATGCAATCATGAGCGTGCTTCACATGCGTCACATAATTAATTCAAATGGCACCATAATGATCCAAAAACCCTGCATAATTAAAAGTCTATTTCTCTAAGCCCCCCTAGCATTATGTTTATAGCTTTCTTACAGCACCCATAATCCTCTGCATTCAGATACAATGGTGTGTGTGTGTGTGTGTGTGTGTGTGTGTGTGTGTCTGGCTGGCTGGCTGCTCATTAGAGTGTCTGGGCTTGAAGAATGCCCCTGCTCTGTGTGCCTCTCACTAGTGGTGAGGTCAGGAGAAAGTTCCCGTCTATCAGAGAACATGAGTGGCCACAGGAGGAGGGGCTAGGTCTCTGTGAGTTTCCATGACTGAATGATTCCCACCTGAGATGGAACAGAGATTTTGTTTTTCCCGCAGATGCTTAGTAGAGCTTCCACAAACACCAGTTGATATTTTGCCCTTTACCGAACCTCAATTTGCTTTAATGAAAAACATTGCTTTTTTTTTTTTTCCAGAAATCCTCCACCCACTTTGCTGCACCCCGAAAAATGGTGTGAGGAATTTAACCACTTCATTTCACAGTGAGTACCTCTCCCTCTGTGAACTTGTCTATGCAGCAAGGCCATGACCTATGGTTGCAGAAACCCAAGCTGCGGAGCTTGCTCAGCGCTAGCTGTGCCTGCTAGCATGTAAGGACCCAAGGGTTGTTCCAGTAAACGTTTTAAGGAGCTTCTTTGCAGAATCTGAAGCATTAGGAATTCCAGTTGACTGAACTGCTCTCGGTCCTCTTTGCGACATGGGTCACATGCGTCTGCAGGCCTACTCTGTAGAAATTGCACATCTAAAACTGATGTCTGCTCTGCGGGCAGGGAGACATGAAAACTGTATGGGACTCAGGCTTCAGTTTCCAAGAAGATGGGGGCGAAAGTAGGCTATTTAACCTAAGGCATTAAGGTGAGGTGTCCTAGCCAATACTGATGCTATGGATGGGACTCAGGCTTCAGTTTCCAAGAAGATGGGGGCGAAAGTAGGATATTTAACCTAAGACATTAAGGTGAGGTATCCTAGCCAATACTGATGCTATGGAGAAGGAGAGGAAAATCCTGCTGAATGGTGCAGTTCCTCTCGTTAGAAGTCTGCCACCAGGTCAGACTTACTGAGGCTAAGACAATAGAGCCAACAAAGAGATCAAGGAGTGACTCAGTGCTGAGACCATGTTTGGGGCTTGGTCCTGGGAGGGGGCCACACTGGTATGAAATCCACGGAAGATGTCCATTCAGCTCGAGGACTCTGTTAGTGACAGAGTGGAAACACTCATCACAAGCCAACCCTCCCACTCTAGAGCTGGGGTTAGATGCCCTGACATCTGGCATTCCAAACAAGAGCTTCAAAGACTGGGAGGAGAAAGCCAATGACCAAAGTTGCTGGTAAATATGATGTAGGGAAGAAAACACACATCTTTTCTTATTCATTCATATGCGCAGTCTTATCTTCCATAAAGAGTTAAGATTAAAAAAAAAAAAACAGCAAACAGGACCATCCTTCTTAGTCATGGTCTAGAGCTACAATCTTCAGCCATAATCCCTAAATCCAAAGAGCCCCGAAAATAGAAGTTATTTTGTAGTTGAGTCATGCAGCAGCAAAACTTGACCTTATGTGAACGGATGTGGGGGCAACACGTACCCTGAACTGATGAGGGGCTATTTATAGTCATTATCTTTCTTAGAGTGAATATTCATGGATTTCAATGTGGATATATTCCTATTTGATGAGAGTGTCCTGCCCTGGATCCTTCTGCAACGTTACATAACGCGTAGCAAATGTACCAGTGTAGCTGTCTAAAATTTGATCAGATTTAGAATTCTAAACATGTTTGAATCCCAGAGGAGTTTGTATGAGAGCTTGAGTTTGTATTTCATTTCCATTTCAAATGCAACAGAGCTCAGGGGTCAGAAGATTGTTTGTTCATCTAATCCCTCCTGGACCTGTGTCATTGTCCCTTGGGACAGAAGAGCAGGGGGGGATGCTCAGAGAACACTTCCAAGAGATGTGGTGTTGGAAGGTGACTGTGAAGCTTGGGTCCAAGGGAAGAGTCAGAGGATGCTACCAAGAGTGGTAGTGTCGGATGGTGAAGTCTGGGGCCAAGTCTGCAGGGCATATCCTTGCCCCTTGGCCCAGCTTTGTCATTTTTGCCCTAACTGCAGAATGAGTAGGGGTTGCCACAAGTCAGAGTAACTGGCTAGAGATACGAGCAAAGTGAACAGACTCACGAGGGAGCCAAGAAAGGACCACTTCCTGAGATCTGGGAACCACAGGAAGAGATGGAGGGAGCTGGAGAGCCAGACACATATCAGAGCATCAGAGAGAGAGAGAAAGAGAGAGACAGAGAGACAGACAGAGAGACAGACACAGAGAGAGAGAGATCTGGATCCATAGAATTGCCTTTTCATTCCATTGCTGCACAAATAACCTTGATCAACCTTCTCTGAAGCTGGCCCAGAAAAATCCATTACATATTCACAGATACACCTTCTCATTCCACCATGCTCCAAAGAAGTGATTTGACTCACATGTTGGGCTTAAGTGTCTTTTTCTCAAGAGTGTGGCTGTATTCCACCCAGCAGTGTTACTGTGAGGATAAGGAACCGAGCTGATGGCAAGTGAAAATTTTTGGGGTTGAGCTGCTGTAGAACATCTCCCTATTCTTTATGTTTCCATCTGACAAATCCCATGGGATGACAATTCCAATTTGGTTATGTTTTCCAACTTTGGTGTTTCTGGTTGTACTCATTCCAAGTTACTTTAGACCTTGAAAGGTCTGGGACACTGGAAAGGAGGGCAAACACCACACAAAAAAACAATATCTTTGAGTGTGGTGGTTTGAATAAAAATGGTCCCCATAAGCTCATAGGGAGTGGCACTATTAGGAAGTGTGGCTTTGTTGGAGGAAGTGTGTCACTGGGGGGTGGGGCCTGAGGGCTCAAATGCTCAAGCCGGTCCCAGTGTGACTGTTCTCTTCCTGCTGCCTGGGAATCCAGATGTAGAACTCTCAGCTCTGTCTCCAGCACCATGTCTGCCTGCACACTGCCACGACAATAATGGACTAAACCTCTGAACTGTAAGCCAGCCCCAATTAAATGTTTCCTTTTATAAGAGCCACTATGGTCATGGCGTATCTTCACAGCAATGAAACTCTAAGACAAACACGGAAAACAATATGAGAATATATGTAGCAGGAGCAAAGGAAAAGTACATCTTCATGAAAACACAGAGGTGAAGACCCTAATAAGCTCTAATGAACCAGGAAGGCAAATAGAAATTGGGTTATTATGTGCTTTATCATTAATTTGAGATATGAAAATATGTCATCACTCTCCAACTCCAGCCTTCATCTTTGGCACTAAGGATTGAACCCAAGACCTCCAGTAAATGGAGGCATGAAGGTGAAATGAAAGCCATGCTAGGAAAGTGCTCTCTCTCTGAGCCATGCTGAACTCACTCTGACACCTGGGCAGGTCTTCAATTTGTGATCCTCCTGTCTCAGCCTTCCAAGAGGCTGGCATTATAGGTCTGTGCTGCTAGGTCCAGTGATCTTTCCTTTCTTTAGTTTATTGTCTGATTTCCTCATTAGTGAAAGTACCACATGTGGCCCCAGGTTCTTCCTTGATCACACGCCTTCAATCCTGTATTCCTCATAGCATCTTAGACACTTCAACCGATGATTCTCCTATGCGCTTTCTTAGTGATGGATCTGAACATTGAAGACTGATCATTGCATTTCACATCTTAGGATACTGTGATGGTTAACTTTGACCGTCGACTTTACATAAACTAGAGTCATCTGGGAAGGCAGTCTCAGTGATGGACTGGCTACATTTGGTTGGCCTGTGGGCCTTCCTGTGGGGGATTGTCTTAATTAAGTTCACCAATGTGGGAAGACCCAGCCCACTGTGTGTGGTACCATTCCCTAGGCAGGGAGTCCTGAACTGTCTAAGAGCAGAGAAATCAAAATGAGCACAAATAAGCGAGCAAGCAGGCATGCAAGGCTCCACTTTCCCTCTGCCCTTGGCTGCAGATGGGATGTAACTAGCTGATTGAAACTCCAGCTGCCATGAATTTCCCACAGTGATGGGCTATGTCCTGATCGTTGTCTAAAATAAACCAATTCCCCCACCCAAAATTACTTAGCAACAGAAATGAAATAGATTAGAAACCTGCCTGCCATTTTCACATACTGACCCCCCTACCCGGCTCCCACCCCACAACAGGGTGCCCTCAGAGGTGGATATGTAGCTAGTGATTGCCTTTTCTTATCCTTCTGCCACCATTTACTGAGTGCTGGGCTCACAGATCTGTACTGCCACACCCAGTTTAGGTAAGTGCTGGACATGCTTGCCAACTCCGCTGCATTCCCTAGCCCCATCCTTTGATCCTACGGATGAGACTGCTTGCTCTAGCCTGCCGTTGCTCAGCCACCAAAAGTGCTATGACCAAAGGTAATTTCATTAGACTTATTCACATCTGCAGTTAACTGTAAACAGTGGCACAATCTGCATTTGAAATGTCTATTGAGAGAACTTCGGTTTGCTTTTATACTTACTGTCTCATGCTGAGGAAAATGAATTGGGGAATTAACATTTTCCAACTACAAGCTTTTCATCATTGGAGGTACTGGCTGGGAAAGACAATATGTGAGAGTTTTAGTAAAATTGTTTTAGAGCAAAATCATTCAGATAGTTGATTCAGTTCCCTTTATAGAACAAGCCACGGGGTATCATATGAAAGTAACTGCCTAGTTTTTCTCTAAAAATAAATAAGACTGGAAATATCTTCTTTAAAAAGATTTTATTTTTTTACTCTGTGTGTGCTTCGTGTACATGAGTGCAGGTGCTGTTGGAGGCCATTAGAGGGAGTCAGATCTCCTGGAGCTAGAGTTACAGGCAGTTGTTAGCTGCCTGAGAGGGATGCTGGGAACTGAACTCTGGTCCTCTGCAGGAGCTGTATGCATTCTTATCCTCCAAGCCATTTTCTTAGCCTGACTAGAAATGCCTGTTTTGCTTGTTCTGCAAGACAGGGTTTCTCTGTTTATCCCTGGCTGTCCTGGGACTTGCCCTGTTCACCAGGCTGGCCTTGAACCTAGAGATCCACCTGCCTCTATCTCCTGAGTGCTGGGATTGAAGGTGTGCACCACCACCCGGCTTAAGTTTCTTCTCTTTCTCTCTTTCTCGCTGAGATTTATTTATTTATTCTATATATTCTATGTATTATATTATATGTGTATTATATGTATATGGATGTTTTGTCTCCACCTCAGAAGAAGGTATCCAATCCCATAGAACTACAGAGAATTATATATGGTTGCGAGCCACCATACAGGTGCTGGGAATTGAACTCTGGAAGAGCAGCCAGGGCTCTTAACTGCCAAGCCACAACTTTAACACCCTTTGATACTCTGTTGCCATGTGACCTCTGAACCAAAGTGGATTCACCATTGAGAATCTGAATGGGCTGGTTAATTTTCTCATCGCTGTAATGAAATACCTGTCAGAAGCAACTTCAAGGAGGAAAAGTTTATTTGGGC